GTCTGTAACAACTCTTTCATAACTTACAAGTATGGACTTCAACCCCCAGAATTCCCCAGAATGCTGGCTAGGGAATTTGGGGAGTTGAAGTCCACACATTTTAAAGTTGTGGACTGTACAGGACCCCTCATTTTGGAAAGAAAATCATTATGCATTCATTTTATGCAATGATCCAATATCTGTTTTGTTTTTAAATACCAGGCTATCTTTACCTTGCTATTGAATATGCACCCCATGGAAATTTACTTGATTTTCTGCGAAAGAGTCGGGTCCTTGAGACTGATCCAGCATTTGCCATAGCTAACAGTACGGCCTCCACTCTTTCCTCTCAGCAACTACTGCACTTTGCAGCTGATGTGGCCAGAGGAATGGACTACTTGAGCCAAAAACAGGTGACCAATTTTTTTTCTTTCCCCAACTGAAGGTACGGATGTCTTGTGTGATTTAGTGAACATCTCCCCAAAGCCCTTGAGATAAGTTGGAGTTGGGGTTCATTTGAGCCACACCACTGCTTATCCTTGGCATTCCTTGGATAAAGGCTGGTATCTATCATGTAAAAATATGAATAATAAAATTGTTGCCCCTGCCTTTATATAAAATGAAGCTTGCATATTGCTAGAGAACAATGATGGAGAAATGGTATTCTCTGGTTGTTTATACACACCAAACATTTAATTAGATATCATCTAAGATTCAAATTTACAATGAGAATCTTTTTCCCCTTTAGTTTATCCACCGGGACCTGGCAGCAAGAAACATTTTGGTTGGAGAAAACTACGTTGCAAAAATAGCTGACTTTGGTTTGTCTAGAGGTCAAGAAGTTTATGTTAAAAAGACCATGGTAAGGGGGGAAAAAAAACATTTTCACTGTAGCTTTCATGCAGAAGTGTGTATTCTGTCTGTATGTTACTTTAAAAAATGGAAAAAACATCTTTAGAACCTAAAGATTTTGCTAAAGCTTCCCAGATTAAACCTATATCTGATTAAAATTATCCAGGCTAGGAGGTTAGAATTCACCCATGGAATTTAATAAATGAACTGGCTTTGTCCCCTTCCATCTTTCGCCCCTTTTTTTTCATCATTTTTCTTGCAAAGAATATCTGTTCAGGAGCAATAAACAGAATGGAAGTACAGTCATTCATAAGGCTAGGTTTCTCTTGTCTGGGAACTTCATTGGTACCATAGCAAACTTAGCTGTTAATGGATTTTTCCTGTTCCGTATTTAGATGACTTGACAGTCATTAATTCACAGACATTTAAAGGAATCACCCTGGCTGATGTAGGAGAAAGATGAAGAGTTTATAACACTTAACTTTATACAGATGTGAAAATTGGATGCAGGGACATCTGCAGGTGGGGTATGAAAAAAGTCAACATGGTGGCCATAATGGCACAATCAAAACCATGGCCCTTTTTTCACATGGGACGCCCATAAAAATGTGGTGGGGCTTTGGATGACTTTTTTCACTTCTCCTGTGGACGTCCCTGCAAGTCTGATGAGTGACGCTGTGATTGCACACCTTGATCCCATATACAATGGGAAAGAGAGAGTGTCCTCACTATAGAATTGTTTTAACCACGAATATGCAGATTAAAAATGTCATGAATGAATAGAATCAGTAGTGTTAAGGAAACGTTTCTAGATTTTTCCCTCTTTACTAAAAAAGAATAAAGGGAAAAGAGAAAAAACCTATATAATAAAAACTATATAACAATAAAATTATATATTATATAGGTTTCTCATTCATGTATATAAAATTATACACAACAGTTTGAAAACAAGGATGACCATATTTCATTGCTATTATCTATGCTAATCTATGTCTGTAACAACTCTTTCATAACTTACAAGTAACATCAGGACTTCAATCAGTAATTGGTGCCACAAAATTGTCTTTCCAACGTTGAAAGATTAGGCTCTTAGCTGTAAGATGGGCACAGATAATCCATTTCTGTTGTCCAACATCAGTTTCCTTGTAATATGGATGTAGTTCAAAAGAATATGGATGTCTGGTAAATTGTTCTGTACCTAAGCAAACATCTATCAGAGCATGTTAATTTCATTCTTCTAGGGAAGGCTTCCAGTGCGATGGCTGGCAATTGAGTCTTTAAACTACAGTGTATATACCACAAACAGTGATGTGTGAGTTTTCATGTTTCAATCATTTTCTAATTTCTTTATTTCCTTTTTCTTATTGATTTCTGTTTTCTTATACCTTTGTTCAAGATAGAAAACTTGGAGAGAGTTTATAGTGGAATCATTAGGGAATAAACGTGGCCCAGGTCCAAATCTCCGTTTGGCCTTGTAATTCCTTGTGTGACTTTGAGAACTCTTTCTCTGCCCAAAGGACTGTAGAGGGTGGTTGCTGAAATGAGGGAGGTCCATTCCCCAGATATCCTGTCCTCAGCTTTGTCCACCATGGGGGTCAAAATAGTCAAGAAGGTGGTTGTAGTGTTGCGATCAAAGCTCTGCCCCTGGGTGCATGCTTGAGAGAGAGAGAATGAATAAATGAGGCAAGAAAGGCAGGTTACACCTGTTTGCGATTTGTTTCTATATCAGTAGATATTTATAATGCACATTCCTTTCAAAGGCAATCGATGTTAAGCGATTATCATTTTCTTTTGTCTTCTTTGCAGTTGGTCGTACGGTGTGCTGCTATGGGAAATAGTTAGCCTAGGTAAGTTTCCTTTGCTTAGAGTTTTTATTTTGATTAAGAACGTAAAATCATAGGATTTTCAGGACTTTCAGCTACTCCAGTGCGATTTGTCTTTGAAACTCCAAGCAAGTCTAGTCTATAATCCTCTTGTACTGTTTGGTCCCAGTATTGTACTGCATTCAGAGATGTATTGTCTCTGAAGATCTGTTTTCTTCTGTGCACCATTGTTAAATAATCCCCCCATTAAAGCAAGTTAGGCTGCAGTCAGCCCTTGGAATGATGTTTGGGAAGCCATAGGATATATCGTGTCTCCTCCTCCAAGACTGGAACAAGAGGTCCACTCTCAGTGGAGGAGATCCAATTCCAAATTCTTCTTGGCTTTGACACATTGTGTAAATCAATGTTTTTGAAACTTGGCAACTTTATGATGTGTGGACTTCAACGCCCAGAATCCCCCAGCCAGCAGTCTGGTTCAGGATTTTATATATCCTGATAGAGACGATTGCTCATCATTTTCTATGATACCTGTTCATAGTACAGGATTACCAGAACCTATATACAGAATTTAAAAAATACTTTTAGGTGTGTTACTTTGACCTTTTCACTCTCTTCCCTAATCTGAAAATCACTTGTTTTTGCCACCACTGCACTTTGAATTGATACATTCTGAGAGCTTGTTATGGTTTTATTATATCGATTCATTCTATCAGGAACATCATCTTAGCATGCAGCTTGCTCAACAAAGAAGCTAATATACACAAGCCCAAGTTAACTCTTTTCTAATATTAGCATATGCAAACGGGAGCAATATTTATCTCTCAGTCTGCATCACTTTATTTGTTAGATATATTTGGCTTCTGTCTTGTTGTTTGTTCAGTTTTTATTTCACTGTCTGTATACGTGTCTGCATGCATGCACACACACATACAAGTATATTTACGACAGATTACAGAGTAGTAGTATGTAAACAGTAAAAACGAATGCTCACGGACACAAAGCCCTTGAGATGAGATGCCAGTGCAGGACAGGATCCCAGGAGTTTCCATTCAGAGACTGACTGATACTTTTATGACCTTTTACATTTGAAAACTGCACATCTGAATTCCATATTGCAGTTTACTTCTGGACACTCCAGATGTGGTTTGTCCAGATGTGGTTTGCCAGGCAGACTGGGTTGGATCGTTGGGTTGAACAAATCGATTGGGCTGGAGGGAATGAATTCAAGGAGGCACACATAAAAAGGGAGCTTTTTGCTCCTTCATGTGCCCACTTGGGCACATTTGTCCAAAATAAAAATAAGAGGACATTAGTCTCCTCTGTTTTTAGCAATGCTTGGTTAAACTTCAGAAACGTTAACAGGCCATTGTTAAAAGCAGGCAAAACTAATCTTGTCCCTTGAGGGTTTTATGTCATGCTTGTGAGTTTATAATGCAGAACTTTTAAATTTAGACACTTGGCAAAATAAAGTTCCCTTTCACTACCATTATCGGTAAACAGAGGTCAACTGATAAGTTTTTGCCCTGTGGTGTAAAGCAGTTGTTTCCACGAAATCAGACATAACCTGCATTTCCTACCCAACTGAGTGCTTGATAGCTTTGCTGTTTTTGGTAACCTGAAGAATGGAGCAAAAATGGGAAAAAGATGAAATTCTGATAAATGTCTGATAAATTCTGACCAGACACACGAGTTTGATGGGCCAATTCTACACACCTGGTCTAGAGAATTATGCACCCTGCTGATAATATACGATTTGTCTTGTTTTTAGAAGGCAGTTATCAACCTATTACCATCTAGAACAGTGCACAGAACCCCCCCCCCGAAAAAAGGGAAAAAGAAAAACGCTAATTTTCTTCTTTAGGTGGAACACCATACTGCGGGATGACTTGCGCAGAACTGTATGAAAAACTGCCCCAAGGGTACCGACTGGAGAAGCCGCTCAACTGTGACGATGAGGTGTAAGTCAATTGGATCTTGCTGTACTTAAAGCGGTCTTGAATGTCCCCTGGGCCAAGAGATGGGATGTAAATGGCAAAAATGAACTCAAAATAATAGGTAACTTTGCTTCAGGAAAGAAAAGAGGTGACTACTAAAAGAAACCATAGATTGGATTTGGAAAAAGAGGAAAATGTGTAACAGCAAAAGAACATAGGCATTCATAGGGAACATGAACTGTCACTGTAATGTTTTTATACCATGCGTCCCACTTCAATACACCTACCCTTATTTATTTATTTATTTATTTACTTTTGTGTTTTGTGGTTGGAGCTCCTATTCCAGGGCAAGAAGGAGAGAGCAGGCTTGACAAGATACTGTGCCGGTTTGGGTCTTGGTTTCTGTTAGCCTTTCAAATAAGACCCTGTTAGCCTTTCAGATAACAACCCTGAGTATTAACTCTAGTATGAAGGAGAAAAATGGCTGTCCTTGCCCAGAGTTAGGATTTCATGTTACTTTTATATTGTTACTCATCCACTTGTTTTATATAATATTTGCATTAATGTTATATGGTTATCAAGGTGTTGGAACTGCTTCTGGAACTACAGATCCTGTCCCAGTTGATATTTCATTGAAGAAACAAGTCTAATATCTATCATTTTTGGTACTGCAGAAGTTATTCCAGTCCTAAAACAGTGTCTGGGGTTAGTGATGGACTGGGGACGGCCTTTTCCGGGGCAGCCCCTACCCGAGGGAACACCCTTTCCCTTGGAGTTCGGCAGGCCCCCACCCACCTAGCCCTCCAAAAAGCACTTAAAGACCCGGCTTTTTCCCCAAGTGCTGGGACAGGGTGAGCTTGATGAGAGGACTAAGTGATGGGCTGCATGTGAAAGTTTAACTTGGTGCCAGGTTTTAATGTTACTGGTTTTAATAGATATTAGACAATCCTGTGACCTGTTGGATCATCCTTTGCGAGAAAGTAGTACAGTGTGTTGTGACTAGAATGAACATTAAATTTTAGGCTGACCATATTTTTTTCTACCCCGATGCTGGACAGTCCCGTGATCATCTAAGAAGAGTATTTATCATAAATAGAACAATAATTGTAGTGGCAAACGAACTTCAGGAATAAGTCCATATTACCTGACCTAAACAGATAAGCGGAATGATCACGGGTGGGCAAAACAGCAGTGGGAGCAGGAGCGATTCTGACTTCCTGCTGGCTTCCCATTGAGTTTGCTGGCCACAACTTTGCAAACAGAACTGGTCTGAACATCATAGAAATTTCAGTTTCACAGGAGTAATGGGTCCCAGATTTTTAATGCCTTCTTCAAGTTAGTGGATTTTAGGTAACTTGATTCAAAAATTGTTGCAGTATAATGCATGATTTGGGCTAACTTGTGGTACAAACAGACAAACAGATAAACACAATGAGAGTTTTAC